CTTGTAAACAAAGAAGATGATGAAACTGTTTGTTCCATTTGCATTCTGATTAATTGAACGGTACTGGTTGTCCAGGTTTATTGAGATAGATATCAACAAATCAATGCAACGAGTTCTTAAAAGACATATTTCAACAGGTATGGTTTCTGGCTGGACTTTAGACTTGTCTGGTCAATTTTTATGTTTGGTGGACTTTTCCACCTTATCCTTCTCATCAACATTTGTTGAAGTTGAAGAAAAAACTAATGTTCATATTAACATATGCTATACTACTGTTTCATGCATGATCAATTGCAGGAAAACCTCTCGATGTCGCCAAATGGCGTGTAAGTTCCTTTTAACTGATAGAGCACATGTTTTCCTTCTCTGTATGCACTTGACTGCTCCCTGATAAGCATGTCCCTAACCTATTATATTCATACAACAGATAGAGTACAACGACCGACCCAACGCCGAGCTCATAATGAAGTCTAAGAAGAATGCAGATTTAGTAATTAGGTCGATTGATTTCTGAATGTAGAATCTTATTATCCTTTGTTGTGGAGGATCACTTTCATCTCCTGCAACCCATGGATGGAAATTTTCCTTTCTTCTGTCCGGTCCTTTCTCAGTACCTTGAAATAATTTGGGAAATCAGAGGGTATCTCAAAGAATAATGTGAAGAACTCATGAAATGGTTGTGTTGAATAAGCAGCTGTCAAATATCATTGTGTAGTATGATGGGTTTGGATTGTAGTCTTTTACAAGAAAAATAATGGAAAATGTGAAGAAAAGAGCTCCAATTGCTGGATTGTAGGAAAGAGCTCCATTCTTGAGAAGGCTAATAATGAAGATGTTTATATATGCAAGTAAGATGTTGCAATTTTGTTTTTCTTTTCTAAAGGAGGAAAAGAGATGAGGAAAAAAATGTTACTAAATGGGCTTTAAGCTTTTCAAATTCCCATACAACACTCTTATTGCTTTCTTAGAAGGATCTAAATATCAACGCGGACACTGATTTTATATATCATATAAATATTAACGCCAAAACTAAAATATGGATCAGATCAATGTTGATAGATTTTCCTATGAAAGTTGCGAAATTAAAAAAAAAAAATCATTTTCTTAAATGGATAAATAAACATGATTCAACTCTCATAAATAAGTTTAAAAATCATGAATTTTGTGAATACTTTTGTAGTATAATGAAAATATTAGTCATCAAACCAAGCTCTTAACTTAGAATATGTAAAATGTGTTATGTTAGACTAACATTTACTTTGGGAGTATAATAACAAACGTTAAAATTAGTTTTGGGCTAAATAGGAAGAGCAAGACCCTCGCCATTAAAAATCGTGGACCTATTCCTCATTTGAAGAATCAATGCATGAGTTTATCTCCATCTCAAATATCAATTTCAAAAAAAAATAAGTATAATTGATTTTTCAATGGTAGATACCTTAAAAATCAATTTGAAGTTTCCTAAAATCAATTGTTTAATTTTGACAGTGACAAAAGTAATTACATTCCCAAACACACCATTAGTAGGTTAACTAAGGAGCGAAGACATTGGGGTATTATGGCAATTACTTGATACAAATAAAATCCAATGTAACAAGGAAAAGATGTCACATGTAGAGAGTCAGGAGAACAATTCATCAGAAATCTGAGTCTAGCATAATATATTAGAAACAGGGTCTTATATTAGAAACAGGGTCTGAAACTTTACAACTTAGACCACCGGGGCCGGCACCTCCTGTAGTTTAACATGGTTACCAAAACAAGTCTTTTTTTTCTGAAAAGCATAATCTAGATCTCAAAGAAAATCAAGTCCCATCGTTAACACCATAGAAATCTAAAGAAAGCAGCCCAAGATGTGTATTCAGCCTACTTGAGAAATCCTAGACCAACTGTAGACTACTTTCCTTTATAGATGCATGAAATATACTGACAATCCTAAGAAAACCTCATTCAGTACGACGCCTCTTTTTAGCTAAGTTCTCGAAAACCTGGTGTATATCAGCAGATGTAATAGGCTTTGACGAGTCGAACGATTCCTGCAAAGAAGAAAAGACATATAACCATGCAAAATACGAAGAACATGCAACCATGCATTGATATGGTTCTTCATTGTATATGTGAAAACGAGTGACTGAGAGAATACCAGAAATGTACGAATCTCGTCCTTCATATCCGCGATGCCACTTAGAATCTCAATTTTCTCTACATGGCCAAGGTTATCAAACATCTTCAACTCAGCACCCTCTTGTTGCTGTAACTTCTCTTCCCTCTTCTGCTTTGCTATTTTCTCATACTCGGCAATGGAGTCCTCTTCATCTAGCAGAAAACTAATATTCTTCAGCTTGTAGTTGTTGATGCATTTCTCACATCTGCACAAAGCACCCCTCCAGTTCTTTGAAAGAAACATTGGCTTGTTTTCTACAACCACGGAAGCAGAGGACTGAGAAGTTCCAAGCACACAACTAGCAGTTTGATCGACTTCGTTAATAGTTTCATTAGAACAAGAATTATTCTCAGGAAGTTCACTAAGAAAGCTATCTTTTCCAGCAGATTCTTCTGGAGCTACTGTAAGGTCTGCGTTAGCAGAATCATCGGGATTACCATCATTATCATGCTTTACAGACGTACAAACTGAAAGGGTCTGTTCTGGAACATCATTCTTCACGCTAACGTCCAAGGAAATATCAGGGTGCCTTCCCACTGCCCAAATAGACGAAGGATATTGACAGAGAAAAGAACAAACTGCAGAACATGCCTTGCATATGAAATCCTCATACTGGGGCACTCCTTCTTCATCCCTTGGAATCTGCAGAACAAGTGATAGATAGATAATCGATGCAGTTAAATAACAATCAACAAGTAGGAATTTTAAATCCACCGGTAAGAAAGTTCCATCATCACAGAGAAAAGGCAAGGTAATTTTCTTGTGAGGATAAAAATTTACTCAGCTTCACATTCAACAGATTATCACTTGCAGATCTTGCTTAATTATCCATCTCGAGGAGACTGTTCTAGTGATTATCAACAACAAAAATGGAGAAACAAGACAAGAACTGAAAACCCACGGAAGGTTTTCATGCTAACACACCTCATCTATGGAATTGAGACCAAGATGTTCCTCATGGAACCAATCCTCACACAAACAGCACTGAATCATCTCCACCTGCTCTTCAACATCTGGATCAGGATAAGGGCGATTGCATATGCAATATGATCCTTTAAAATTATGATTATACGAATTGTTGGCATTTTCTACAGCTTTGTTTGAGGTCAGCTTGCAGAAGAAATCTCCAAATTTTGAATTTCCACAGTCGCACCTGAAGTTCCTTTTGGTCCATAGTTCCACAATCTTTCCCAAGAAAACAATACCCATGATAAGATAAGAAGGGTTAGTAAGCAAAGTCCTCGGAGAGAAATTAACATCATTGGAATGAAGTCATACAATTTAAATAAATTATTGATATTCATTTATGCAACTTGGGAATAACAATCAATAACAAAACGTTATGTTCATAACGCAATAACCTAGAGTTTAAACATGAAAAATCCACTAAACGCTTCTTCAGAGCCACATACAGCAGGCTGGATCTTCTCCAAAAACTTGGTGTGTCAAAAAAGACTCAGTAAAATATGGTGACAAAATATATGTTCCATACTTTACAAATTATACTGCTCAAAAGCAATCAGAGACACGGTCTATAGCTTGGCACAACAGCAGCAAACGTTGGACAAAAGAAACTTAAATCACTGCAAATAATAAAGAGAGTTCTTTTTCAAAACATGTATACCTCGTGCCCATCATGGCATGACAAGCTACATGCTGTGCAAACTCCAGCATTTCCATCAGGGGTACAAGTTAGACATGAGAAAATGGCTTGTCTCTTCATATAGCCCTTGCTGTAAGTACATTCTTTCCCTTCGTCACCTCCCAAAACTAAATCCGCTTCCTTTATAATAAAAAACAATAATCAGATCCCATGCACCCACAAAGAAGATACAGAAACAAGAACAAAAGATAGTAAAGTGATATTCTCTGTAGAAAGTCAGGATGACCTCCGCTAAACGAAAATTTTAGGACAGTCGAGATTAAGATGTTTTGATTACAGTTGTAACTGAGTTCCTAATTCATACTCTCACTACTCGCGCACACAAACGAATATTTTCAAGAATTACACGCCACGAACCCTAATTATAGAAAACCCAGAACGTTTGCAGGCCATTACATCGCTAAATTCTTGGAAAACCAACCAATACTCGTACACCCTAATTCAAAAAAAGAGAGAAGGACAGAGAGAGAGAGAGAGAGACCAGCTCCTGTTCCTCAACTTCCTTCAGATACTCCTGAATAGAAATCGTCTGTTCGGTTTCATCATCGAAAACTTCCGCCATTCGAAATCAAACTATACAGTATCCTTCCAACACTCCACTTCCGATAGTCGACACCAATTTTCAGGATCCGAATCTGAAAAATCAAACAACCAGAAAAATAGAAGTCACACTCAAGAACCCATCAACAAAAATTTGCAGAAACACCGCTGGGCAAATGCCCTAGAACAAAAGGCGTGTATCCACCAAACTTACAGAAAAAAGGGAAAAAAAAATACCTCATTCACAGTTGAGAGACCCAGAAAATAGAGGAACCGTGAAGGGGGATCAAATTGGAGCAGAAGAAGAGTTGATTGATAGAGAGAGAAATAGAGGTTTATTTTGGGGATTTGATAAAGGAGAGAGAGAAAGGAGGGATAGTAAATGGGAAATGGGTGTGGAAGAGGAGGGACTCTTACGACATTTTCCCGCCACAATTAAGAAAAATGGCATCCTTCTCTTCTTCTTCCATTGCCAAAAATCAAATATATAGTTCCCCTCTGGTTCCCTCCACTACACTCCACAAAGTTTGGAGATTGGATTTTGGATTTTATTTTACTTCCAACCCAAAACCAACAGAAGTACTTATTCAAATTCTACGGTTTGTGCATTATAGAGGGAGTAGTAACTAATAAACCAATTATAGAGAATAATTCCAAAAAAGTTACTTCAACCCTTAGATTCTTTTAAAACAAAATATAGTACGGCAAATTTAAATGTGAGAATTCAAATTTATTTAAAATTTACTAGCATGTCTTCTAGTCACATTAAATAAATATATAAGCGATATATTTAGATATATTGTTGATATCTTTTGATATTAAAGTAGCTTACGTATAACCAACTTTTTTATTTATTTTTTAATTAATTGATGAAAGTTAATATGCTATCCAGTTACTGTTTTGTTAACATATTTCAATAGGTAGATGTGCCAGTTTAAAAATGTATTTCGTCGATGAGTCAATCAAATTAAATTTGTTGATGCATGAGTTGAGTTTACTAAGTAAGCATATTTACATGTCCAAATATATTAATAAAACAATAATTTCATGTACATTAAACTTTTTTGTTAACATGACCCAATTGAGAATTTTTTATGCTTTAAAAAGTAAAATTGAGAACTCAAAAAAGATAGAAAAAAAACCCCAAATTGAGAATTTCACTAAAAAAATTAGGATTATTTGATTTTTGTTATCTAAAAAATATTCAAATCTTGACCTTTTAATCGATAATATCTTAACCAATTAAATTGTACTTAATTCTGAATCATGTTGTTAGTAACACATCTGACTAGATTTTAAATCAAAAGCTCAATAAATGTAATTGAAACATTTTAAATTTTAAAAATAGAACCCATAGGTCAAAATCAAATCTTTCCATTGGCTTCCCCCATTCATTCGTAAAATGGTTCACTTACACCGTTTGGAGTAGGTAACCCGTCCCCTCTATTTTTGTTAAGCAAGTACTTCTAGCAACTTTATTTATAATTTGATATATTATTTTCTATAAACCGATATATCGTTTTAAAAACTCCTAAGGAGCTCTTTAATAAGACTTTTTCCCTGTTAACTGTTTCTTCACCTGCCAAAGCAAAGCCCTTCTTGGCCTTCCTTCTAACCGTACCAAGTAACAGTAACAGAAATATGTAACTTCTCATCAAATATCCAATACCAAAAATCTTTTTATCATAAAGTGAAAATGGAAGAGAATATTTGGGATGAAAATTTGAACCTTAGACTTTTCAATCAATGATATATGTCTTAACCAGTTGAGCTATGCTCGAGTTGGCAAGTCAGAAAAAGAATATATTAAATTGTAAAAGTTTGTAAAGCTGTGCTACACTTTCAAAATGGCATTTTTCCAGGCAATTTTGATGCCCGCATGTATATTCATATATAAAACTGCAGAACTGTTGAAACTCATCAAGCGCACAGATCATCTCATATATTAATATTATCTCACAACCAGAAGGAACCAAATTCATTTTATACCAATCGCTGAGTTTCTCTACGAGGACTGCAATATCTTCTTGTAATCTTGGAATGTGCCACGGAAGGGATTTACTTTACCTTCTGACACCGCCCACAGCTCCTCAACGCTTCCTGATATCAGATGCTCGTCGTGACTAACCTGTAAGCAGAGATGTCGATATAAAGAAGTCAATGTAGAGACACGATGTTAAAGTCCCCATGTTGAGTTTTGTG